TAAATCAGCAGAATATAATGAGGCTCCACCGTAGTTTTGGTTGATAGGTAGAAATTTGCATCAGGCTTCCTGTAAAGTGTTATATTTTATTGACACACAAACCTCTAGAAATTCATTTGCAGATCCTCTGTAATTGATACATGTTCCCCCCTTGGCCTCTGTGTGATCCAGCTGTGTTAGCACTGTTTGATGTTGAGACATCATGGTAGGCAGTTTTATTAACGCCTCCTTTTTAGAGCTGCTGCTGGATGTTTCCCATGCACCTTTTTTTCTGATTTATTCCCACTCTGCCCCGATCGGCACACTCTGATTAATGGAACTGTGGGACAAAAGAAAAAATAAATTCCTGAGTGACAGTTTAAGCTGGCCAGCTGTGATCTCCTCAACCTCAGGAAACTCCAAGTTGAAAAAGTTTAGTTTTTATATGCTGTTTCAGTTCCCTTTGTTTCTAAATTTGGAACATTTTACCAAAGCAAAGCAAAAACGTCTCTCAAACTTCTAAATGTGTTCTTTTCTGTGGGTATGGTTGAAACCCCACTTTGATTTGGGTTGGAGAAGGGATGCACAAGAATGTAAATGTTTTTCTAGTTCTGTAATGTAATGTTTCTGTCTCCTAGGAGTTGTTTTAGTTGTGTTATTCCTTTTAATTTCCTTTGGTAAAATGATCCATTTCCAGCGATTAATTAGCTTATTTTAACTGTTGTTTGATCTGTGAAAAGTTTCCTTCTCATGTCCTGGAGGGAGTTTATTAATTAGCTCCGCAAGACCATGCAGCAACGCAGAATATAAACACTCTAATACAATCTGCTGCAATAATGGGCCGGTTCCCATGTCTCACAGGATCAGATCACGCAACCAATTAAAGCCGCCTGATGCTGTCAAATGTCTGTTTCCATTTCGTTTAAATGCACTCTTCAAACACTCTTTTCACAGCTGTGTAGTGCTGCTGTCAGTTGACCTATAATTAATATAGGACCCTTTGAACTAATTAGATGAAATAGTGACAGAATAGAGGTGTTGGAATGGGAGCAGTGCTGTAATTTAAATTCTATCTTGAAAACATCCAAACGCCTTTTTTGCAATGACTTCTACTTTAAGTCTTATCAAAGCAAGAATTCTAGGGTGTCTCTGTTTTCCTTTAGATAAATGTAAAACATGTGCTCTTTGAGTACATAGGTTGTCTTGAATGGCTTCATGGTGGAAGATCAGATGAACGAAGACAGTGGCTGAGCTCTGCAGTGATTCTTTTAGATGACGGCAGCCTTCAGGCAGCATCTCAGCATGATGTCATTTATCTGTGGCCTTTATGTGTTTGAGCCTTTCTGGAGGTATTTCTTTAAAATCCACTAATAGCATTCCTATCTATGGGGAAAGGAATGGATAAAGTAATTTGGGAATAATTTTAGATTGTTGAAAGCTCAGTGAAGGCAGAGTCTACAAACTATATATGCATATAACTATATATACAATCCATATATAACACCAATTACACGCACTTCTCAACTAAAGCTATATATAATCTGTAAATCTTTTATCTGCTATTACATCATTATTTATCCTGTATTATAACCCCACAAAAAAAAAAAGAAAGCATACCGTATATATATATCTCATAACTTCCTCTATAAGCTATATGAATAGAACAGAATCGAATAGAAAATTGTCCCACAATGGGGAAATTCTGGTATTACAGCAGCAAAAACATTATAGCAAAAATATATTATAAATATAAATACTGTGCACTTGGAGAATAAATTAACCAATATCCAGCTATGGACATTTTTAGAGTAATGGATATTTGAAAATAACTGCAACATCAGAGATGTGCAAAATGACAGCAGCGTGTTATTTACTGACTAAGGCAGAAACTGTGCAAAATCAGCATGAATGTAACAATTTGTTGACGTTCTTGGGAACAGTGATGGTTATAAAGTCTTAAAGCTGCTGGCAGGAATGCATGTATGCACATAACTTCCATTTATTTATTTTATAGCCTCTTACAATTACTCTCTCTTTACATACACCATTTATAGTCAATACATGCATAGTCTCTGTGCACGTGTTAGTAAATATTTATATCCTGTATAGCACTTCTGGATAGATGCAAACTACATTTACTTGCTTTGTACTTGTGACTGTGTATAACAATAAAGTTTAACTCTATTCTATATTCTTCATTTGTCAGAGGTTTGAAATGTTAGGAAAGTAATATTTACTCTTTAGGCAGCTGGCTGCTTAGTTGTTGATTAATATGATATGATGCAGCGGAGGCTTTTTCTTTTATTACCTTCTCAGTGGAATTTGAATGGTTCGTTGCCTCTTAGTGAAAACAAAACTGAAGCTCTTTTTGGGCCGTTGTCAGCAAATCGATGATTCTCAGCAGACAGGTCTTTGCTGTTGCCAGTTTCCTGAGTCAAGCTTGAACTCCAATGTAGCACCAATTTAACAGTGGTGACAAGGTTGTTTAAGAGTGCAGCTGCTTTTCATTGGCTCCTGTATTTCTGTGGTTGCTTTATGATTTAAAGTGTTGGACTCTGTGTAGTCTGTTCCTTTTTAAGCTTTTCAGCAAATTTAAATCCATGAACAAGAGCATACATTTGCATAGCCAATATATTTATTCAAGTTCTACCCAAAAGATGTGAGAGTTGGGCCATCTGCTGTAAAAGCAAAGCAGCCCTAAAAATCATCTATATGTGGAGAATCATTCACTGTCAACCATCAGTCATCTAATCCCCCAGCTCCTGGCATTTCCCCCAGCTGTGGGAATCATCCTTTACTTTACAAACAGATGCAATAAACCACAGTGCCCATTGGGGACCTTTATAGATGCCATGTTACTTATTCCTGTCAAATTGCAAATGTGAAACTGGATATACTGATCAGAGATATTGAAGGAAGTAAATCCTCAGCAGTTAAAGGACAAGGTTTCTTAGAAATTTTTACCGGAGCTGACCTCTCTCTCACTTTGTGTGCAATCAGCTTCACAGTAGGTCAAACTAATTTGATGTATTTATGAGATATGAATAAAAAAACTTTTGCATATTTGTATTTTTATCTATTTGTTCTATACAGTGCAGAAAATCCTTAACTGCAATTGGATATTTCATCTCATTAACCTATTTGTGTAATTGATTGAAAACTCGTTTAAACAACTTCTGCCTCACTGGTTTCACGTTGTTTGCATTCTGTTGATTACTCTGGGTGTTTACAAGACATAAAAAACTAAACTATTTCCCTAAATGTAACTACTGAAATGCATACATTTCAATTCAAATAGGCTTTAGCCCAGTCAGTATGGAGCAGTCTCTGTTGTGTGTTTTGATCTTTTTCTAACAGAACAACTGAGGGTATAAGAAAACACAGCATGATTGAAATATCCACTTGTAGAATATAATAATAATAATAATAATAAAAAATATATATATATCTTTTTCTCTTATGAACCTCAGCCTCAAACAACCATGGTGAGAAAGGTGAGCTTCATTGTCTGAAACCGTAGCTCACCACACATATACGCCTGAAAATGCACATGTGCAGAAACATATAGCTATCTGAAAACAAGCACATAGGACAGCCTTACGTAAACGTATCACCAGAATGATTTGAAAATAGGAAGACCATTTCTTTTTTTTATGTGTATTATATTCAACCACCTTATTGTATATTTAGATTTTAGCCATACTATATGTATCACGATACATATGTAACATTACGATTTATTCTACTATATCGCGGTATATTAATAAATATATATTGCGATTTTTTTTATTGTTTATTTTTTTATATATAGATTTTGTTGTTGCCCTACGGCTGGTGCAGAACAGCTCAACAAATATGCTTTTGGGAATTGCACTGCCATCTGGGGGCTGGAGGTTTGACAATGATAAGGATGTTTTTGTCTATAAATCTCTCTGTAACTAACTTCTTCTGAGCTACACCAGCGGTTATTAATAAACTGCTTGTGATTGTCCTGTGCGCTTTGATCAGATGGAAACTTCGGTAGCTGGGGTTCCTCTGACCGGATTGTTAGCCAGAGCTAGTAGTTGATCCTGGGAGTAAACGATAAGCCCATGTCGGCCTCAGAAATATGAAGTCACGAGCTGCGAGCTCACTCTGCACTCAGGAAAAAAACAGAAAAAGGGAAAAATGTAAATCCCTAACACATGAAAAAATATCTTCGGGTAATACGACTGCTGTATTTGCTTGACTACACTGAGCTGTTTTTAACATAACTTTAATGTTATACGAATTAACTTACAGTCAGTCCAGCAGAAAGCTCACAATTTCTGCGTCCGTTTAGAAGCCCCGCTCCCTCATCCTTTTTTTCCACCTAATAAAAGCTAAACTGAATTAGATTCATATTTTATCCTGGTTTGTCACATAAAGGTAAAATGCATTGGCTAAAATGTTTGTCCCGTTTCAGCAACCCCAGTCAAATAGAGACGACCCAATATGGCGCCCTCCTGTGTGTGGAGACAAATGTATTTATGGACTCCTAATTCAAAGCTTTGCAAATGCATTCATTAAAATAAAGAAAATGTATTTATAAAAGCAATATTTATTTTTTGCTTATTAGAATCCAAATAAGTTGCACATTGTCCATTTAAGATTCATTTGGCCGTATTGAATAGTATGTAATCTGTGTTTATTCTCCAGAGATTGTAGACCCTAACCTAGTGTGAATTTCGGAGTATATTTGTATTGTATGTGTTGAGGTCATTGTTTTTCTAAATTCTTTTAAATGTAAACATTATTTTTTACCTGAATAAAACCCATCTAAATTTTGTCTACCTTCATAATTATCTGCATAGTTACCTCTTGCCCAAAGTGCTGCTAAATGTCGCTTAGCCTTTCAGATGTAAAAATAATATATTTAGTTCTATTTCTTTCTTAGGAATCCATGGTATCTATGTTTATATGAGAAGGAAATGATATTTCCTCTGTAAAATAGAAAGTATATTGATGTTTTTCTAATGAATGTTTTACTGTTTGTTTTTCAGCTGTGAAGATCAGCAGATAGCCCCCAGACTGTTTTCCTCAGCAAAAAAGGTATGAATCAGTTAATTGCGTCACATATAAGAGATGAATGTTCCCTGGGCTGAATAAACTTGGAAATGTCACTACAGATAGTCTAGAGTCTTGAGAAGGAAAAGTATCTGTAAACATGCACTTACTGAACAGAAGTGGGAATTTTTTTGTATGCATACCTATAATTATTACACAGAAGTCGGGTTGTGAAGCTGGTAATGATTATTATTGTTAAACTTATTTTACCAATATCTACAGTTAACAATAATTCATATATCAGTATTTATATGGTGACACATTTATTGTAATGATAGTGTTGCTGAAAATAATGCTGTTCTGGGTGTGCAGTGTGAGTGTTGGAGGAGAAATAATGTGGTTGCTTTGCCATGTGTTGCATTTTTATTCTACAGTGTCCAACCAGAATATGGAATTTAGTTTCCAGCGATTTTATGGATTTTTACCTTCTGGGCTCTCATATCATGTATGTTGTCTGTTTCTTTGTTGTTTTGCATTGCATCAAGAGCTGCTCCATTTTCTTTCAGATGTATTTTTAATGGCATGAACTGGGGTTTTAGGCGTTTTAGGCCGTTTATGATCTCAAAGTATAGATTGAGGTTTTTAATGGCAAACGTCCTAACAACTGTTGTGCACATGACTTAGTCCTTTTTAATAGAAGGTGGGGATTGGGCTTTTTCATTAGCCCCATTTACACTACCCTTTTGAAACCATGCCGAGATCGGTCCGAGCACAGTGACTGAGATAACTATTGAGTGTAAATGGCATGCCACACTGAAGCGGACCGTGCCAGACACAAACGAACCACGCTGAACTGGTACTAGTCCATCAGTAGGGCTCGGCGCGGTTCAATTCTGGCTTTTTTCTTAGATAACAAAGAGCGCATTAGTAGATCGGATCATCTCTTTACAGTCAGCCTCCGTAATCATGAATCAATCGCTTCAGACATTCATATAAATACTAGCTTCCCTACCATGCCCTATGGTTTCCAGTGATGATTCGGCTTAGCAGTGTGATGAACCTCAAGTATTGGGTTAATTCAGGTGTTTTATAGAATATGTGAATCAGGAAAATGTCTATTCGGAGGATATTTACTTTAAAATCAAAGAACTATTTAATGTTTTTACGTTTTATTGTTACTTTTGCACCAGTATTAAGTTTTTTATGCTTGTATTTATTTTTTTTTATACGAAACGACAAATTTATTGCAAAAAAATAAGCTATATAATATTTTTTATTTAATTTTTGTGTTTATTATGATAAAACTTAGATGTATAAGACATATGTATCAAACATTGAGACATGGTAATATTTACTTCCTCTGCTTCAATTCAGTTAATTTATATGGCACCATTCACAACACATGTCATCTCAAGGCACTTTACACAGATGTTAAGGAATACACAATTCAGGATTTAATTAACATTTTTTTAGCAGTTACAAATACAGTAGTGAAAATGCAACACTAAGATGTAGGACTGGCTGAAACAATCTTTAAGCTACATTAGTTGTTTCAGTCTCCAGTTTAAACACGTTTTAAACCTTAGTAAAGCAGTGTAATAAACTAAGTAGAATAAATAAATAGAAACCCATGAATTTTTCTATGCATCATTATTGAGTCTCTGTTTAGATATCTGTATGACAATAAAGTTGCCTTCTAAGCTGACTCAATGAGCCGATTTCATAGGGCAATTAGCTGGCAGCATCTGGTGCCCAGCTTCTCTGTAACCATGCTCCACTCCACAAATGGCTTTACAGTCGCTCTGTGTTTTAGTTTTCCAGCAATTAATGAGCTTGGATGTTGATTTGCCTCATGCTGTGCCTCAGCAAACAGCAACATCTCAGTGTAACTATGCATGCTCCAAGTTCTTTGCTGACACACAATAAGGCTGCAGAAAGTGGTATTTGCAGGGTTGCAGAAGTCAGAAACAGGTCTAATGCAGGGTTTGCTCTAATTCATTTCAAATTAAGTGCAGCCATTTCAAGGGATAAAAAAAAAGACTTTAAAAAAATTGTATTTTTATTTATTTTTTCTTTTCTAAACCTGCTTCAAAATCCAGGGTGGAATTATCAGCGCCTTTGCACATTAGCTATTGGAAAGCGGTGGAGGTCTCCTCTTTGCCCTGTTTGCTCTGATTGCATGCAGCTCTTTCAGGACAAGGCAGCTACAGCTGACTGTGCCTGAGAAACAACGTTTCAGGCAGGGGTCTGCAACCTTTACAACCCAAAGACCCATTTTGGCCTCAGCCCAATAAAATAAAACTTACTTGAAACCACAAATGATAGTTTGTGGGTAAAAGATGACATCATTGTCTCTGTTGTGTGTTTTGATCTTGTTCTTGTTTTTGATCTTTTATCCTACTCTAAACTGATGAAGCCAAAAACTGCAATCGGTGTACCATTATTGAATACCTTAACTACATTACTTGTACCTTGGAGATCATTTTTATGCAGAAAGTCAGATATACAAGTATATATAAGTGTAAAACATAAAACTGGCTTAAAATCTGAAGTATTAATTACATCTTTATCTACAAAATCTATTACTCTGTTATTAGTTTTAAGAGCCTCTTGTGTCTCCAATGCCACAAGCTGCAGACTCCCTGACTTTAGGAAATGGTGAGAGACTTACATCAACTCTCACTGCTGTCATGAGACGGTAATGGTAGAACAGCTGCTGCTCTCATGTGCATTCGCTAAACTTTCTAAAAACACTAAGAAAACCTCCTGGATTTAGAAAAGGTACCGGGGCTGAAGGGTCCCCAAATATAATGACAAAGTCGCTACATTGGCAACACTGGACTGTCCTCTTAAGCCTACAATAGCGAGAGCAGCTCAGCTCACTGTAGGCACCAACAGATTTAAACTCCAGCCAGCAAGGCGGACAGCGGAATGATGGTGTTTTTCTAAACAAAGTCAACTTCAACATTCATGATATTCAATTTCTTTTAGCCTCTTCGTGGAATAAGTGTGTAAATATATGGTTTCATTCTGAAGGTGTTGTGGCTTTTGCTTTGCTGTGGCGGTGCAGCATCGATCAATCACATGTAGCAGAAATCCTGTAATATGTCTCTCTTTGGGTTTGAAAAGTGTTCACTTTTCCCCCCAGCTGCCTCAAGTGAGAGTGTTCTGCGTTTAATCAAACTTAATAAAACTTAATCTTACGCTTACTCAGTTTAGTGGATGAACTCAATAACTGCAATCATGACATAGACCACATGTTTTCCATTAATGCTGCTGGTAGGAATGATTTCTTACATGATTTAAGCTCAGAGGTTTTTGTCAGGATGTGTTTTTTTTTTTTTTTTTTAAGATGACTTGCTGCGGTACATTTTTGCATCTCTAGTGATTGTGAGTCAGGATGACATCATTCAGGTTTTTACCGTTTGGACATTCCATCTTTGAAGGTTTCCAGTATGATGGCTGTTCTATCTGAGTTATATTCCTCTGTGGACTGTGAGTCCAACTAGAAAGGGGTCTTTCTGGGGTCGAATATCGTAGCTATGTTTAAAGGGATTATGCAATTTCAACTTGTTAAGGATATTAAATGTCTTTCCAGAGGAGTGTGTTCAAATACTTCATGGTTGTTGTATTTTTTTTTCATTCAGACACAGTCTATGACGCGCTTTGCACCCTGCAGTGACTGTACAGGCAAACTATGGCCAGATGTTGTGGAAGTATTGAGTCATTGAGTAGCATCATTTAGCAGTGTGACCAGATGTGTGGATCTGAGCTGCGCTCTGCTCAGTAATGACTGTGGTGATGTCACAGTTTGCAGAGTGGATGCAAACTGCTTGTTTTGAGATATCAATTTAGGCTTTTAGGTAGATGTCTAATATGGTACAAATGCATCATGGTTCCTGGGGGAGGCTATGACAGACTGAACTTCCTGTACTATTGGTGGACCACCAGGCTCCTCGTCATTAGCTGATCTCTGTCATTCTTCTGAGAAGAAGACTGGCTCCTGGCCAAATGTTACAACTCTTCCATGATTTCACTGCAGTTTTTTTTTTTTTAAGGCTCTTACTGGTAAGCTTTGTCATGCCTGCCGATGGGGGATCACTGAAACATCCACCACCTGTTTTTGTTCAGGGCAGATTAGCTGTATTTTCTGGAAGGTTGGGAACCAAGCTGGTGTTCAGTCTGTTTGGGGCTGTTGTTTTACCGGGACTTTTATATGAAATAAACTAGAATAAAACTCTCTGACTCTATATCTGGTCTCCAGTCTGTTTTTGGACATATTTCCTCCTTTATAGTAATCATTTTTCTTTTTACAACTAAACAAAGGAAGTTAGATTGCCCAGTCTTTTTATTTTTTGGGATTTTGGATCAACTTCTATTTTCCAAAATTCTTTGAGATTTGTAAGTATTGAACAGGCTTAAGCTTTTGTTCAGCAAATATTTATGAAGTTTAAACTAAGAATCTACCTCTTTGTCATGGGCCAGTAAGCAGCATCAAGGTGTGCAAAGGTTTTCTTTTATATGATTTAAAGTGTCTTAAGGAGATGCCATAGAAAGTGCTGGAATGACTGGAATTTTCTCTCTGAAGCATAAAGTATGGTAGTGGTGCCCCTCCCCCACATGTTTTAGGGCACAGATGGTTGAAAGAAGACCACCAACATTTTGTACATGCTTGCAATAGGACTTAACTATTTAGTGATATTTAGATGCAGTAAAAAATGTTAAAACATCAGGTAGTTTAGGGTTTTAATAGTTTTATTTCTGAATAGTTTATTGATTTATGTATAAATTTAAAACAAAAAAACTAAATACCAGAACAAATCTGCACACTTTTTATCATATCATCTATCTTAAATATTTCATTAACACATGAAACAGGAACCCTCCCATTTTTTTTCACTTGCAGTGTTTATTAATATAAAATTTCAGATAATAATTTCAACCAATGCTTAAATTGTAGCTTGTTTTTCTTATTGCCTCTGATTTTATAACTTCCCTGTTGTTAATCATTTTTGATATTGAAGAAAAATGCGTTTTAGTCCAAA